GTCTTCAATGAGTTTTATTCTTTCCTGTGCTCTTGCTTCCTCTTTTGTGTGTAGGAATCCTTAAAATATTATCTATAATGCTGGGTTAGTAGTCATGGATTCCTTTACTTTATGCTTATCTTGGAAAGTATTTCTTCTTCACTTCTGAAGGATAGTAAGTTTGCTAAATAGAGTATTTTCTTTCCATACCCTCTTGGCCTTTGGAGTTTTTGCTGAGAAATCTTCAGTTATTTTAATGGGCTTACCTTTGTAACTGACTTTCTATTGCAGTTTTCAATGTTCTTTCTTCTGTACTTTTAACAATTTAACTATAATATGATGTAGAGAGATTATTTTTTTGGTCAGGTCTATTTGCAATTCTAAATGCCTTCTGTATCTGGGTGTCCATGTCTTTCCCAAGTTTTGAGTCATTTTCTGCTTCTATTTTTTCACTGAATAATCTGTCTGTACCTCTGCTCCTTTGTCTATGACTTTGATTCATGTTTGATCCTTTAATTGTGTCCCATAGATCTTGCATGTTCTGTTCACTCTTTTTTCTTTTTTAAATATTTATTTTTTAGTTTTAGGTGGACAGAATATCTTTATTTTACATGTATGTGGTGCTGAGGATCGAACCCAGTGCCTCAAGCATGCTAGGCAAGCTCTCTACCACAGAGCCACAAACCCAGCCCCCACTTTTTTTTCTTTATTGCTGTCTGAATGTGATCATTTATCAACCTCATCATCAAGTCTTGATAATATTCTTTCTTTTTCTTCATCTACTCTCTTGGTGAGACTTTTAACTGAGTTTTAAATTTGACTTTTGAGTTTTTCATTCCCAGTTTTTTTTCCAGGATCTTTTTTTTTTTTTTAATTGAATTGTCCTTGCATATCCTACATTGTCTTCCTTAATTCATTCAGCTGTTTTTTTTTTTTTTTTTAATTCATTGATCATTTTAAACATAATTCTTTTCAGTTCTTTGGCATTTTATCCACTTTAATATCTTTGGACTCAATTACCAGAGAGTTGTGAACTTTTGTAGTAGTCAGGTTGCCTTGAGTTTTCATACTTCTTGTATTTGTGTATTGAGATTTGCTCATTTGTTGGGATGCAGTGTCTCTTCTACTTTTACTTGAGGGCCTTCTTAGGGAATAGTCTTCTCTTGATGGGCTATCTGTTGTTGTGTAGCATTGAATTTAATTCCAAGTGGATTTAAGTGCAGTTCCCTATGGTTTCTCTAAGTTTGATTGGTAAATTTTGACATATTGCCTGGAGGACTCACTTTCTCTGTAGCTCTAGAAAGAGGAGGGTCCTTCTAGTAGTTCAGTTGGGTGTGTTGTAGATAGCATAGTATTTGGAGTTCCTCTTTCAGTTTTGTCTACAATGTATTGATTGCAAGTTTATGTTGAGGTCCCTGTAGATGGAGTATCCACACAGTTGTGTTATTTCTCTCTGCTCTTGCTGTGGGGTGAGTGTCCAGGAGTGGGACTTCTGGCCCTCTCTAGCCATGCCTGCTTGGGGCCAGGTTGTCACTGGGGAACTTTTACTCTCTGCTTTTTTTTTTTTTTTTGTACCAGGAACTGAACCTAAGGGCTATTAACCACTGAGCAATGTCCCCAGCCCTTTTTTATTTTGAGACAGGGCCTCTTTAAGTTGCTGAGGCTGACTTTAAATTTGCAATCCTCCTGCCTCAGCCTTCAAGTTTCTGGGATTACAGGTAACTATAGAGTTGTGCTCCAGCTATCTCCCTGTTTTAAAGTTGAAGTGTGCACGAGATTCAAGTAGGACTGTTTTGTGGCTAGAGTAAGTGCAATTTCTTTCAACTTTGTTGTGGGTATAGCTCAGCCACAAAATGCCATCCAGTGTACTTGAGGTGTGGGGCTTGATCCCCCAGCTCCACTGAGAAGGAAGAAGACAAATAACAGTAACATTTACAACATAAAAACAAACAAGATATACGAATACAGTAACACTCAATTAACAATTATAACTAATAGAAAGGAAAGGGGCAAGCCAGGTGTAGTGTTCGCCTGTAATCTCAGCTGTTTGGGAGGCTGAGACTAAAGGATCTCAAATTCAAGGCCAACCTGGGCAGTTTAGTGAGAACCTGTCTTAAAAATAAAAAGAGCTGGGGCTTTAGCTCAGTGGTAGAACACCCCTGTACCAAAAAAAAAAAAAAAAAAAGAAAGAAAGAATAAACCAAAAAGTCAAAAATCTTTAAAAGATTGTTTAAAGCAAAAATAATAGTAGTATATTTGTAAGGCTTATTGTATATAGAAATTAAACACGACAGCAATAGCAGAAAGGATGGGAATATAATTAAAAGGCCCTTACATTGTGTGTGAAGTAGTATAATATTAATCCATGATAGATTGTGAAAAGTTCAGGATAAACATGATAATCAATAGATGAACCACTAAAAAAGAAAAGGAGGTATAACTAAAAAAAGCCAATTATGGAAATGAATATATAAATATATAATTCAAAAGAAGAAAGAAACAACAGCATTGGGGGAAATTAAGACTAGATTTAAAATCTTTTCTAGAAAAATCTATATGGTAACCAATAAAGAGGTGAATCGAAAAATAGGGGCTATAGTCGTAGCTCAGTGGTAAAGTGCTTGCTTAGCATATGTGAGGCACTGGGTTTGATCCTCAGCACTACATAAAAATAAATCAATAAAATAAAGGTATAAAAAATATAACATTAAAAAAATTCAGAAATGGAGACACTCATATGAAGAAACTAATGATGAGCAGAATCCATTTAGAATGACCATTGGGCTAATGAATAGAATGTAAATGACATATACCTTTATGGCATGAAAACATAATTGTTGAGACTGGGGGTGTAGTTCAGGTGGTAGGGTTCTTACTTAGCATGCATGAGGCCCAAGTTCTCCAAGATCACAAAGACTGGAGCCCAGGCTGTGGGCTATACTATCTCCTTGAGTTGAAATAATATAGAGAGGTATAAGAGAAGAGAGTACTACGTGCCGGTATCCTTGTTTTTTATAGTTAAAATTTGCTCTATTTCAGTCCCCTACAGTCTGTTTTTCTTCTAATAAATAAACGAAGGTAAAATCTTTATTTACAAGCAGTATATATGTTCCAATTTTTTAAAGTACTTTTCTATTTGGTATCCATTCTGCCAGCCAGCATTTAATCTAAACACATGCAACAAAGATCGCTAGAATGGTGCTGACTTGATGATTATTTATAGATGATGGATTGAAATCATTAAAGAATAATATTAAAATGTTTATATTTCAGAATGAGTGACAGTACATGGGATTTCAAATTTTGCCTTAAAAAAAGTAACTAAAAAAAGTGAGCCCTGTCACTATCTCTGCCTAGATAAATTACTTTGGGGCAGTTTCTCAATAGCTTTCAGGATTAAATTCAGGGTCCTGAGCATGACCAGTCAGACCCTGCATGATCTGGACCCTTTCGTCTCTTCAGTTTCCTCCTTCAATGGTTTCTGGGTTCAGTCCACAGTAGTTTCTGTTCCCCTTCCTGGAAAATCCCTCACCCATATTTTCTTTTTCCCTTTTTCATTGTATCACTGCTTAAATGTTACTTCTTTCAGGGAACTTTCCTTGACTTCATGCCCAGGCTAGATCAAGACCCTAAATATATCCTTATTCTCCCTGTACTTCTCTATACCTTTTTCACACTTAGAATCATACATTTATTTGTGTGGTTTTTTAATATGTCTCATTAGACCATAGACCAAGATTCTCAAGGGCAGGGCAATGTCTGTTCCCCAGGATCTAATGCAATAGTGGCAAATAAAAGACGTCAGTATGTACTCAGCCCTCAGTATCTGGGGGATATTGGTTCCAGGACTTCTGCAGATACTAAAATCCTAGAATGCTCAAGTCCCTTATATAAAAATGGCACCATTTTTGCATATGACCTCTGTAATCTTCCTGTATACTTTTCCTTGAAAAAAATTTAATGTGCTTATGAATCACTTGAGCATTTTTTTCATATTTTTTAATTGATGCATTTATAGTTGCACATAATAGTGGAATTTGTTATGTATTCGTACATGCACACAATATAACAATATAATTGGTCAGTATCATTCCCCAGTATTTCCCCTTTTCTTTTCCCTCCTCCCTCCCTCCCTTTCCTCTACCCTAACTGATCTTCATAAGATTGCATCACACTTTTTCCTTTTTCTTCAGTATTCTAAAATCACCTTTAGATTACTTATAATACCTAATGCAATGTAAATCATAATGGAAGTAGTTGTTATTATTGTATATTCTAGGATTAATGACAAAAAATGTCTATACTTATGCAGACAATTATTTTTTACACCACTGAGCTACATTCCTACCCCTTTTTATTTTTTGAGAAAGTTCTCACTGGGGGCGCCTCTCAGGTTGCTGAGGCTAACCTCAAACTTGCAGTCCTCCTGCCTCAGCCTCCTGAGTCTCTGGGATTACAGGTGTATACCATCATGCTCTTTTCTGAATTTTTCTTTGTGTGTGTGTATACCTGGGATTAAATTCAGGGGAACTTATCCACTGAATCACATCTCCAGCCCTTTTTTTGTATTTTATTTAGAGACAGGGTCTCACTGAGTTGCTTAGGACTTTGCTAAGTTGCTGAAGTTGTATATTCTGAATATTTTTGACCCAAGTTAGTTAAGTGTGCAGATATAAAAGCCACAGATTGAGAGGGTCAACTGTATATTTAAATGTATGAACGTTTAATTGTTTATAAAACGCTACGTTCTTACTATAACTCCGTGAGGTGGATATTTTTTGTTTCCAACTTTGACCTCCTTTACCTGTTTGGGCTTCCTCATAAGACAGCATTTGAACAAAAGATTACATGGCTAAAGAAGGGTCTGTGCTCCATGCCAGGCTACTTTTCTTTCATATTGCCTTAGCTGAGAGGATATGGACTTGCTTTCTTACTTTGAATTGCTCGCAACTTTGAGCTGAGACAAATAGGTTCTGCCCTGACTTGGGTTTACTTTTTTCCTTTACTTTCTGTCATTGCAGGTGGATTAGCTCAGGACCTGAAAGCTGCCTCGAGCTGCTTTTTGATGGCATGTGAGAAGCCTGGAAAGAAGTCTGTGGAAGCATGTCACAATGTCGGTCTCCTGGCACATGATGGCCAGGTCAATGAAGATGGCCAGCCCGACCTGGGGAAGGCCAGGGACTACTACACAAGGGCCTGTGATGGCAACTATGCCTCCAGTTGCTTCAACCTTAGTGCCATGTTTCTGCAGGGTGCCCCTGGCGTTCCCAAGGATATGGGCCTGGCATGTGAATACTCAATGAAAGCCTGTGACCTGGGCCATGTTTGGGCCTGTGCCAATGCTAGCCGCATGTATAAAATGGGGGATGGTGTTGATAAGGATGAGGCCAAGGCAGAGATGCTAAAAAATCGGGCCCAACAGCTGCACAAAGAGCAGCAGAAAAGTGTACAGCCCTTAACATTTGGGTAATGTGGCCAATGTTAAGGGCTGTACAAGCATCAAGCAGCTTGAGGCTGGCACCTTCTATTTCTGAGACCTGATGCAGCCCTTAAAGGTCAACCTGCTGGAGCAGGAGAACTTGGGACTTAATATCAGTAGCTCTGGTTACATAAATCCATTTGCTCCTGAGTGTCACCTACTGGGATGTGGCCTGCAGTGAGTGTGTTCTGTCAGTTATCTTTTATGTGGCTGTGTTCTGTGAACACTCCCACATTTATGGGGTCTTTTCAAACTTTTGGAGCTCTGTGAAAAATAGGAGCCAACTAGAGAGCCATAAAGATTTGTGTGAGGGATTGGAGGGCAGAATACCAGGAAGTCAAAAATCAGCAGCCAGAGGGCCTGAAGGAATCAGCTGCTATCATCATCATCCTCCTCATCATGCTCATTTTAGTTGGGGGGGGGGCTTGAAAATCAGAGTGTCTTGATTTACATAATAGAGGTCTTAAGGAGCTAAGAAAAGTTAAACAGTCACGACTGCCACCCTCTGACTTATGTAATCGTTGGTGTGGGCTTTTTGCTTTCAGATTCAGATCTTTCAAGAAGTTAATATAGATTAGGAAAGCCTTGCAGCATGAAGGTTAAAGGCTCATGTTTTTAATGATGAAACGGAAGCCCGCCTTCCCCTAGAAGAAACATTCACAGTTAAAACCTCCCTGGACACTCACCTCATGGAGATTATGCTGAAGACATTCCCAGAGCAATTCCAGCTAGTAATTCGCAAACAAAGACTTTGTGACATATTTTGCCTACTGATACTGAGCCTTTTTCACTGTTCCTGTGAATAAACTATTTTGATTGATTTGTACTTTGTGTTATTAGTGTTCTTTCTGGATTCCGGGTAGGGTTGAGTATGTTTTTCATGGGATTGTGCCTTTTAAAACATGTGCTTTTTCTATTATCTCTCTAGCTTGTCACCAGGGGGCGAGCTTGTCATTTTCCTGCTGATTTTTAGGATCATTATATGTCACCACCTACTGTTTTTGGCTTTCAGTTTTGCAGCTGTAAGCATAACCACCAAACTTCTTGAGCTGGTAGAAGCGAGGGACTTTCTCAAGTTTTAAAAGGCATCAAGTTCATTTTTTTAAAGTAGCTTTTCCTATGCTTAAAATAAACTCTAGGCCAACAAGCATGTGAAAAGATGCTCAACATTACTAATTGTGGGAATTGCAAATCAAAATCACAATGAAATCTTAAAACTCATCTGTTAAAAAAACTTTATTAAAAAATGGGCCAGGGCTGGGGATGTGGCTCAAGCGGTAGCGCGCTCGCCTGGCATGCGTGTGACCCGGGTTCGATCCTCAGCACCACATACAAACAAAGATGTTGTGTACGCCAAAAACTGAAAAATAAATATTGAAATTCTCTCTCTCTCTCTCTCTCTCTCTCTCTCTCTCTCTCTCTCTCCCTCTCTCTCTCTCTAAAAAATAAAAATAAAAAAGTTTAAAAAAAAAATGGGCCAAAGACCTTAATAGACAGCTCACCAAAGGAGATATGCAAATGTGGGCTGGGGATGTGGCTCAAAAGGCAGCACGCTCGCCTGGCATGCGTGCGGCCAGGGTTCGATCCTCAGCACCACATACAAAGATGTTGTGTCCGCCAAAAACTGAAAAATAAATATTGACATTCTCAAAAAAAAAAAAAAAGAAGAAGATATGCAAATGGAAAATAGGCATATGAAAAAATGGCCCATGTAACATGTCATCAGGAAAATGCAAATCAAAACAACAGTGAAGCCAGGTGGATGGCGCGTACCTGTAATCCCAGTGACTAAGGTAGGAGGATTATAAGTTTGAGGCCAGCCTCAGCAACTTAATGAGAACTTGTCTCAAAAAATTAAAAAGAGCTGGGATGTGGTTCAGTGGTAAAGTACTCCTAGGTTCAATTCCCAGTACCTCCAAAACAAACAATGAAATTGCTGTAGGATGGCCCAAATCCAAAACACTGATACCACCAAATACTGGTTATGATATGGAGCAACAGGAACTTTCATCCATTGCTATTAGGAATGCAAGATGATAACAGCCACTATGTATGATTCTCATCAAACTAAACATACAATGTGTTAGCAGCCTCACTCAGTATTTACCTAAAGGAATTGAAAACATGTCCATACAAAAGCCAGTATGTTAATGTTTAGCAGTTTTATTTTCTGTTATGGTTTGGATATGAAATGTCTCTCAACGTTTCATATATTGAAGGCTTGATCCACAATGCAACAATGTTAAGAAGAAAGGCTTTGGGAAGTGAGGGGATCCTGAGAGTTCTGCTGTCATTAATGGATTAATCCATTGGTGAGTTCATAACTGAACAGACTACTGGGAGGTGGTAGAAATTGTAGGGGGATCTAATTGGAGGAAGGAAGTCACTGACAGTCATATTTTGAAAGGGTGTATCTTATTCCTGGCCCTTTCCTCTCTGCTCCTAGCTGCCATGAGGTGGTCAGCTTTTCTTCACCATGCCCTTCCACCATGATGTTGTTCTGCCTTGCCTTACCCCAGGTGATAGACCAGATGACCATGAACTGAAACCATGAGCCAAAATAAACCTTTCCTTCATTTAGTTGAATTTCCTCAGGTATTTTACTGCAGTGATGGAAAACTTAACATAATTGCCAAAACTTGGAAGCAACTAAAATGTCCTTCAGTGGAAGAAAGGATAAGCCATGCAATAGAATAGTATTTAGTGATAAAAAAATAATGAGTTAGGGCTGAGATTGTGGCTCAGCAGTAGAGCGCTCATCTAGATCCTCAGCACCACATAAAAATAAATAAACAAAATAAAGGCATTGTGTCCAACTATTTCTAAAAAATAAATATTAAAAAAAATGAGTTAGCAAGCCACAAATATATATATATATATATATATATATATATATATATATATATATATATATATAACTAAATGAAAGAACAATCCCCAAAAGTTCCTTTCTATATGCTCTCTACTGTGTGACCTTGGTTATCCATTCTCGAAAAGGCAAAACTAGAGGCAAAAGATCCAAGGGTCAGGGACTGGGAATATGGCTTAGTGGTAGGACATTTGCCTAGCATGCCTGAGTGCCTGAATTCAATCCCCAGCACTAGGGGTGGGGAGATCAGGGGTTAAATGAGAGAAAGGGATGAATAATTGGAGCACAAGACTTTTAGAGTAATGAAACTACTGTGTATGATACTATAACAGTAGATATACATCATAATATGTTTGTCCAAACTCCTAAAATGTATAACACCATGAATAAACCCTAATGGAAACTAAGGACTTTGTGTAACAGTGATGTATTGGTATAGGCTCATCAATTACAAAAAAAATGTTCCATTCTGGGGCTGGGGTGGTGGCTCAGTGGTAGAGTGCTCCCATAGCATGCATGAGGTACTGGATTTGATCCTCAGAACCACATAAATGTAAAATAAAGATATTGTATCCACCTAAAACTAAAAAATATTTTATAAAAAACAGTTCCATTCTGGGGGCTGGTGTTGTGGCTCAGTGGTAGAGTGCTTGAGTAGCATGTGTGAGGTACTGGTTCAAGTCTCAGTACCACATATAAATAAATAAAATAATGGTCCTTCAACAATTAAAAAAACATTTTAAAAATGTTCCATTCTGGCAGGAGATATTGATTATGAGAAGGCTATTAATTTGTAGAGGCAGATTTTCCATATGTGGGCAATCACTGCCTTCTCAATTTTGCTGTGAACCTAAAATTGCTGTTAAAAATCTATTCAAAATGAGGTTGCTGGGGCTGGGATTGTGGCTCAGTGATAGAGCGCTCACCTCTCATTTGAGAGACCTGGATTCGATCCTCAGCACCAGATTAAAAAAAATAAATAAACAAAATAAAGATATTTTTAAAAAATGAGATTGCTTCACACCATTAGGATGGCTATTATTAAAATAAGAGTTTTCAAAGGTATGCACTGTTGATGGGAATGTAGAATAGTGCAGCTGTTGTGAAAAGCAATGGAGTGAGTGCTTCTGCAAAATATTAGAATTGCTATAAGATCCAGTTATTCCATTTGTGGGTACACATCCAAAGGAATTGAAAGCTGAGTCTTCAAAACACATTTTTACACCCATGTTTTTAGCAGCGTTATACACAATAGCCAAAAGGTGGAAGCAACTCAAATGTCCATCAATAGATTAATGAATGAATATGATGGAATATTATACAGCCATAAAAGGAAGGAAATTCTGACACATAGTTCAACATGAATGAGCCTTGAGGACATTAGGCTAAGTGAAATAGCCCATCCACAAAAATCCAAATGCTGCATATGAAGTATCTAAACTTGTATGTGTCATGTGAACACATAGTAGAATGGACTGGGAGAAGGTGGGTACAGGGAGTCGTTAAATGAGCGTGGAGTTTCAAATTCATAAGATGAAAAACTTCTGGAGATTGGTTGTGCAACAATGTGAATATAATTAAAACTACTGAGCTGTACGTTTAACATTGGTTAAGATTAGTAAATTTTATGTGTACTTTATCATAATTATTAAAACTATGAGCTTTAAAAAATGCAAAGTTTGCAGTTTTTGCTTATAAAATAATATAATCTTGCTGGGCGTGTTGGCACACACCTATAATCCCAGTGACTCTGGAGGCTGAAGCAGGAGGATCACAAATTCAAAGCCAGCCTCAAAAATTTAGCACAACCCTAAGCAACTTAAGCAAGACCCTGTCTCAAAATTAAAAATAAATAAATAAAAAGGGCTGACGATTTGACTCAGTGGTTAAGTGCCCCTGGGTTCAATCCCCAGCACTAAAAATCATTTAAAAATAAATAAAATAGTGTGCACTCATGAAACACAATTTGGAATATGGCATAAGAAACCATTATCCCTTATTTCCCCACCTACAGGCATTCTTTGACAAAACAATGTTAATTTTTTAAAAATACTCAAAGCTTTTCAATTAAATTATGAGTTTATGGTTTTGAAGAATTGGTTTACATGATTGTTGGGTGGCAGATGTGCTGAATCATTTTTTTTAATGGGCTAGTACCTGCCTGGGACATTTAGTACCTGGCTTCTGAGTCACATACTGAGATGAGGCTGAAAACAGTAGAGTGAGCATTAGGTGTCAAAATGTTATGTTTCGTGAAAATTACTCAAATGCAAAGAATAATTATTTACTGATCCGAGGGACCCAGGGGCCATTTCATACTTGGCTGCTGTAGGAGGCAGTAGGTTGATAAGAGCCAGTTGGATGAGTTTCTTACTTTTGTGAAGCCTTTGAAACGAGGTTTAAAAACAGGTTTCAGACTCTGGTCACAGCAAGCAGTATCATTACTGTGCCTTCTGGCCAGCAGGCATTTGAATCATCATTAGTGACTATTTCCTACATGTTCTCTCCATGCCAGGCTTGGGCTGCATACAGGAATGAAGAGAGGACATGATGGTGTAATGGGGAACAAGATTCATATTTGACTAGTGATTTGTGTTCTTAAAATCTGATAGTACAGTGCTCAATGAAAGAGGGAAACAAGAGCCCCTCTCCTCGTCTCTAGGGACTCTTGTTCCCTAGAGGTTTAGGCTTTATCTTGTGGGTGATTCAGTTTTGAGCAGAATGGAAATCAGAAAAATCATCCCGGTGCATGAAATGAATTGAAAGGGGAACAACTAGAGAGAGGCAGGAAGGCTGCTACAAAAGGTCAAGGTGAGACATGTTGGGCCCAAGCCAAGGAGTGTCAGTCAGGCAAGGAAAGGGAAAGAGGTGAGAGATGGAGGCAGATAAATAAGCAAAATTTAGTCATGTCGGTGTGGGGGAAGAATGGAATTAAGCACGAGGTTAAAAAAAACAAT